CTCATTTAACTTAATAAAATTGTGAAATGTTTAGCCTTATATCGACGAAAAACAAAACATTTGCATATATGTTATTTTCTTAAGGTAATATTTCCAATACCCTTCGCAAGGGAATGAAAAGAGTAGCTAGGCAGGACCCCGCCCACTTTTAGGGTGGTGGGTGGAGGTGGATGCTTTGGGGGAGCTGCAGGACGCGGAAGGACGCGACAACGTCACGCGGCGTTGTCATGGCGCAATAAAAATAAAAATCTAATTAGTATGCCGTTGACAGTTTAATCGTGATTACGCTGGCAAAAATGTCAGCTAAGCGGAGCAGAGGCGTTGGGTGGTGGTCTGTGGGTGGCAGTGGGTGGGGGGTGGCAATTGGGCTGGTGGAAAGCGTCAACATCAACATGCCAACAGTTGATTCCTTGCTTTGTTGTTCTTGCTCTTGGACGTTGAGCTTGGCATTTCCGGCAGACGCCACATGCATCGCGTGCGTGTCACAACAGCACGAGTGTGTGCTGGCGGACGTGTGTATGTATATGGGTGTCAGAAGTTTAGCACTGAAAATCGCCACCCGAGTGGATGGCAGCAAAACGCTAAACAAAAATAACAGAAATAATAAGCCATTGAAAGCGGAACGGGGCACACAGCGAATGAGACTGCGAGATGCGACGTAGAAATGCTGGACACATTTAAAATTAACTTTAAAAATAATGGAAATAAATATTTTTAGTCTTTTCTCGTTCTTCTTTGGTTTGGTTTGCGTAAGATTAAATGATTTTACAATATGTATGGATAGTTAAACATGTTTTCTAAAAAAAGGTTTGCAAACTGGATTTGTCCTAAATACAAAATTTTGATTAAGAGAACTTTCCTGATCCTTGTAATAGAATTTGATAATGTAATAAATCTAAAAAGTATGATTTTTTTTCTTAGTAAGAAAGCTCATGTTAACAATCATAACATAAGTTTGTCCATTGATTTTAATTTTTGCACGTTTTCTATAAAATGGAACATGTGATATCAACATCCAACATGTGATATCAAAACAGGTTCTCAATCCCCCCTCGTATGTTATTTTTGGGCCTTGCATTTGTTTCAAAATGTGCTCCACGCCCAGACACTCGCAATTCGGAGGCTCGCCTCAATGTTGGCCATTGAAATGCGTGTCTAGAGAAGGATCCGCGAGACGTGATTGGAAGTTTTTAGCAGGTCCTGTCGCCGCTTTCCCCGTTGTTTCGGTGCGATTCGAGTGGGTCTGCACCGGACCACGTCCCTTGGCCAAATGCCAGCCAGGATTGGGAGTCGGTGGTAGAGGAGGCCAAATTAAAAGCAAGCCAAAGTTTAGATCTGGCCCAGACCGGAACCGGAAGTAGCTGTGATGAATTGCCCTGCATCAGCAGCAGCAGCCGCTTCCGTGCTCTTAAAGCCCGACTCCCTCAATTTACCGGAACGACTTTCAAGATCAGCTTACATTGCTTACATTGCTTTCAGTTTTTAATATAAATGCCGGGGATTTATGAGCGCCTCTTTTACAACTTTATTATGCCCCAATCTCACGATTTCTGAATGAATGAATGAATGAAGAAGGGAGGATGGAGGATGGATGATGGTACGTCGACAAGCCAAAGGAATATGAAACGAAATTAAAGCTGCCGGAAATGCAGACAAAGCGACAACTCATTGCAGCAGCTATTTTGCCCGTAGTGTCTGACGGAGATGGAGATGAATGGAAAAAAATCCGGAGAAAAGCCGGAAAACTGAAATGAAATCCGAATCACATTGCATTTGAAGGGGAACGTGAAGAGTGACAAACAAACAGTTGTCCCTAACGTCATGACTTATATAGGCACAAATATTAATTTAAAATGCAGCCAAAATTTTAATAAAAAGCCGGGTATTGCATATTGAAAGTCAATCTACCAAAGAAAATTATCTGGTTTTAGTTGGCAGAAGACAAAACACCCGTCAAATGTCATTCAATGTAGTTTTAATTCCAGATCTATATTATTCTGAACAAAAACTGCTGCAAACTATAGAATTTAATTTAAATACCTTTCTATGGCTTATTTCAAACATGGTAAAACGATTGTTATTCAATGAAAACCATGGGATTACGAACAATTGTTGGCACAGTCTTTTTGTTAACTGAAATAGCTCCCCAATTTAAAAAAAATCGAAGCTTTGTATTTAATATTTTGCTATCATATATGTAAGATAAGTATATTTTTTGAGAAACATGTTTTATTTTTTTTTAAGCTTCATATTCATTTATTTTTGGGCTCCTGCTGATCGGGACTTAATTTGATTTGTCACGGTGTTCGAAAAAAACAAGAAGCTCACGTCCGGAGTTGAAACGGTTTCACAAATGGCAACCGCAAACATAATTGAACCGCAAATGATGTGGGTAGAGCAGTCAGCCTGTGGGTGGTAAATTGCCTGTTCAATTTGAAAACAACTTTCCCCGAGGCCATAATTTTCGATTAATAATTCAGGCAAACCGTGTGCGCTGGGACATTTAAATTAAAGCTCGAATGCGGTCAAAGAGTAAAAGGTGAGGCCTTAAATTGCTGATGAGGGCGTGACAATATTTGATTTGGGCTTTAAGCAAACTCACCTGGTAGGCTGGCTATGTAAACAGCGGTGATGATGAAGAGTCTTCGCATTTTGATTTCCCTTTGCCCGCAAATATATTTGTTTATTTATGAATCAAATAATGTTTAATGTTTAATGCCCTGGCCTTCGCAAGCGATTTACGGTCATATATGAGCAATATCCGCTATCCAGACCGCAAAAATCAATTTTTACATTCGTTAACTGGTTTTGTCATCCTTTTGTTTTGCTTTGCGCTCAGTGTGCAATTTCCTCTGTTTCGTCGCTTGATTGGTTTTACTTTTTGCCCTATTTTGCGGTTGCATTTAATGCATTTTTCATTCGGCGCTCCTGCTTTCTTCGGTTTACCAGTCAGCCACAATTAGCAATCTGCACAGTGAGTCCCATTTGTATTCGGACCTGTGTGCCATTGGCCGAACCTCCTGAATGCCTTGCATGGGAAACTGTGTAAATACGTTCGTGTTAGCTGCATTTCTCATTGAACTCGATTTGGCTATTTGCATTTTTCATATCCCTTCTGCCTTTTTTGCATATTCATTTCCTGTTTTCCACAATTTTTCCACTTTGCTCTATGTATTTTATATGACTTCGATTCCCTCCCTGCTTTTCCTGCATGGGGAACTCCACAATGTTGCTGGCCGATGATTGAACGGCAGTCGGCTTCCGAATCAACCTGAAAAATGCATGAGCAGAGAGGGAAAAAGGATTAGACCCAGTTGTAAGCTTAGGAATTTTTGAATTAATTATTGCCTTAGTGTACCAGATTGTTGCAATTTAACTGATTTTTATTCTAATTTTTTCTTCGCTTTGAATATTTAAAATAGTAAATAACTCACCTGCATATGTTGGTTTAATTTTTAATAAAAGTATTGAAAAGTCTTTATGTTTAGCTTATGTGTTGTTGAATTAGGGTAAGTTCTGTTCTTTTTTTCTCCAAATTTCTAAAGTTTTGTGAAAGACAAATTAAATTAATCAAATGGTATTGGCTTTCGTGGCACTTTCCTCCCCTGACAACTCCAATCATCATCAAATTCAATATCCCCTCGAGGATTTACTGCCTTCGACTCCGGAGAATCCTGCGACTCCTACTAAATCATTGACGGACGCTTTAAGCTGCATCGGATTTTGGAGTTTGGGAAAAACAAAACACACGCACAGTGCATTTTCCAACTGATTTGAAAATCCAAAGTTGCCCATTAGCAAACCAAATACGCGCTGTTGCCACCGCAAAAAGGGGGCGTGGCAGGGACTGAGAGGACTGCGGGCAGAGACTTTGGCGCCACACAAAAGCCGACTGACTTTACATGGGAAATTGGCAAAAGCCAAGCCATGAAATTGTACAACACGATTTTCACATTTCGTACATGACACCATTTCGACTGCCAGTGGGACAGTGCGGCACATGTGTGTAAGGCGCCCGGATGGTTGCCGTTGCCGTAGCCGTATCCGTTGCCGTACTCCCTACTTGACATGCCTGTGTGTGCATAGGGAAAATTCACTTATGGAAATCGAAGATTTTCGCTGGGCCATTCTCCATTCTTTTTCGAGGGAGCGAGAACGTAACGAAAACTAAACTGATATGAAGTATCAGCATTCAGTATTCAATGTAAATCCTTTAAGCTGCAAATGCGCCTTAAAGGAGACTCTCTCTGCCACATTTTCCCGCCTGACTGACAGCTTGACTGCGGCTCTGAGTGGTGTTCCTGTCCCATATTTGGTGGCTTCTGCGGCGGAAAAGCGAAATGCGACCTGGATCTGGTGAAATCGGGCAAGGGGGTTTCCATACCCATCCACGTCGAGATATGTGTGCCAACTGGCGGAGCGAAGGGAGAACTTAATGCTCATCATCGAGAATGGAAGCGATATTGTGCACAAATACCAGAGTCAAGTAAGCCCAACATTTCTGACTGAATCAGTGTTATTCGCGATAAGTTGGCAGAATGCTTTTGTCGACGGCAAAAGGTTTTCGCATATATTTTGGTGTATTTCGGTACTAAATTGAATGCAATAATGTCAAGTAGTCAAGACTTCATAAGGGATTTTCTTTGAAAAACTAAATAATAAAGTTAATGGTAAGCTTGACTATTTTATTTCTTAATTTAAAAACGAAAATATCAAGGTACCAATTTATTTATTAGTTATAAGTATTAAATACAAAACTATTTAATAAAACTGATATTGAATTTTATTTGTTTTTTTTATATGAAAATATGAATACTTTAATTAATTAAGTGAGATTAGGTCTAGGGATTAGAGATTCAAAAAGGTAAAGAAATGAGGAAAATGACTTGTCGGTTCTTAGCATTTTACTTTTGCCTTTAGCTAATTTTCTTAATCTTTGAATATTTGTTTAAGTCTTACCCAAGGAATATTTTGTAATTAATGTCAAACACTCAGTAAGGTCTCACAAATACCATAGGAACTACACATAAAGCACAACACTACATCACACTAAAAACATAAAAATAAAAAAACAATACGGAATATTACTATGTTCGTACGATGTCCTTCGCACATTGTAGGGTCCACCGCTACAGACCTTTTCAGTGAACAACTTTGTGAAGATTCTGATATTTCGAGCGAGGAGGGGGAGAAGTCGAAGGACTCCTCCGAACGCTGCCATGGACCATTCTGTCACCTGCAGCCAGTTGTGTTGGACTACAAACAGTTCAAGGCTGCCAGGACCATTCAGCGCCACGTTAGGGGATTTTTGGCTCGAAGGCGTCTCAACTACCAAAATCAGGCGGCCACCACTATTAGCAAGTTGTGGCGTGGCTACTATGTCCGTCGTTTCCAGTTCGCCCACATCCAGAACCTGCTGCACATGCGGATCATGCAGTACCACAACGACATGGCCACCAAGATCCAGGCCCTCTTCCGCGGATGGATGACGCGCCAGAACTTCCAGGACTTCGAGGGCATGAAGTCCCTGCGCATGCAGTACGCTGAGGACATGTTGAGCGCGCTCTTCAGGAAGCTCTGCACAATGCGCAAGGATCACTTGCTGCCGGGAATCTACGCTCTGCGAGAGTCTGAGTAAGTCTTAGTTTCAGTTTTTCATTTTGTTTAATACCAAACAAAGACTAAGATATTTAATTATATTTATATTTTTAAAAGACAACATTAAAGGCATTGATGGATCATAAAATTAATTTCTATAACATGTATATTCCTCTTTTATATTGTTTTATGCTTATAATTTATTTTAACTTGTAATTTATTTTAAAAGAAACTATTTTATTTTGTTTTTTTGCACAGATAACTGTGAAACAACGCTTTTTAAATTTTTTAAATTTTGAAGGGTAACCCTTTTTTATTTAAATGCTTTGCAATTCGGCAGCAAAGCCCTTAAACAATTTTGAAATATTTTTTATTGACCTTAATCTTATAATTTCACCGCCAGTTTGCTTTCGAAGATCGAGGACTTGTCTGCCACCTTTGACTACCGATTCCACAACGGCAGAGTTCGAGCGGCCATTGCCAAGAAGCGAGCCTTTATCAACGACAGGCGGGAGGAGTTCCAAGGGGCCCACTCCTATTCCATGGCGCCGTATCCCGGACCCAACTCAGAAAATATTCCCTATTCCGACATCACCTTGCCCAAGAAGATTGGCCCGCGATTGCAGCGAACAATTTTGGTGTACGACAAGTCCGTACGGGATAGGCATGTGAAGAAGGTCTACGATCTCAATTCAAAGAGTAAGTGAAACTAAAACTTCGGGTCCAACTTTTACTAAAATCCGCTCTCCAACCGCAGGACGTCGTAAGAGCATGAATGCCCTGCGTGAGAATATGCGGAACCTTTTTTGCAAGGACTTTATTAGGAGAATTGTGGCCCATAAGAAAGTGAAACGATTTGACACCAAAATGATTCAGGTTTTTCTTGACGATCTTCTAACGGCCGCCGAAGACTTTAATTGTTTTTGCAAGCCCAAGACCGCAATAGATAGTTTGTGCGAATAGGTTTTCTCAGCACAAGACATCAAACAGTGATGAGAAAATCTATTTCCATATACGATCTTCATTTTTTCGATTGCTATAAATTATTAATTAGTCCAAGCGATACTCAGTTTATAATAAACCTTTGTTGAATTATACAAGTATTTTTGGTTGTCAATAAGGTTTTCATAACCGTGAAAGTTGTTTCACAGATTTAAAATTTTTGACAAATTAAGTATTTGAAGAGATGGCTTTTTTTTATTGGTTTTTCGGCGTAAACGGAAAATTCCCAAGATCCTGGAAATCCGAGAGGCTCTGGCAATAATTTGTGGCTGATTTACATACTTATGTACAAGGCAGAGATAAAAAGACTCCTTCAGATACATTTTAAACATCTGCCGCACCTTCTCTTGACCATTCAAACTGCCCCGGGGAAACTGACAGAAGATTTCCATTCCCCATTGTCATCAGTCACAAAATGTCAAAAATTCCTCGACATAAAACAGATTTTGTCCCTCAACTGAAGACGAATAAAGCAGAGCGCTTAAACTTTTTTAATGTCAAGGCAACAAAAATTGTGGAGAAAAACGAATTCCGGAGTCTCCATTGTGTGGCTGTGGCTGACTGTGCGTTTTTAGCAGCTCGCAATTTATTTGCAAACATTTATTATAGTTACTTTTGTTTTATTCGCTTTGAGTACTTTTGCGTGTTGTGCAATGGAGACGGTAAAAGTAGGGGGTCACTTTTTATGCTGCATTGTTTTATGGTCGCGTCGTGGTTGCCAATGAAATGCCCCACCATCGAGCAGCTTAACAAGCCGCCAAAGGTTGTTGGCGGAGGTCCTGTCAGATGGAGAGCAATCGCAGGGGACGCGACTCGACTCGACTTCAAGCTGGAAAACAAATTAGTTTAAAGATAAGTGGGTTACACAATTTCGAGTAGCATACTTTGTGGCATTAAGTGGCTGTCTTGATTAGTCCGTGCATATGCCAGGATGACTTTGACTGGCCAGGACGAGAGGGCAAATACAATCAAGCTTCGGTTGCAGACTGCACGTGAAAATGTTTAACAGCTGTCGATGGCAGGGCGAAGTGGTTCTGGGGCAAATACTCGTGGCATAAAGCAAACATCAGGGGAATCGGCAAGGAGCAGCAGCTGTAGCACCAGGAGCACCAGTAGCACCAGGACTCTGCCCAAGGACCTTGAGGCGGTGCCGTAATGCGCCTCTGGCCGAGTGCACTGTAAATACCAAAGCAATTTTCACTGCAAAATTAACAAGCGCCAAACCGCAACACAAGCCCGAGGTGCTGAAGTGGATTGGCTTGGCTCGAACGGAGCTGGCCAAGATTCCTGCCATACATACGTTTACCACTAAGTCGGGGCGCCGGGACATAATGAATTTTGCCAGCTCTCCACGTCTTCGCCTTCTGTTTATTTGCCATTTTACCCGTTTTGCCTGGCTTTGGCTACTCCCCACTGCTCTCATCGGACACACGAATGCAATTAAGCTGCACATTGGGGGGAAAAAATCGAAGGCTTACGGGATTCTCGATTGGATCATCAATTCAAGGAGAAAAAACCAACTCTCCTGAAGTTTCTCCCCCTTTTTGTAGCCATCTAAAACGTAACCCAAGGGCTCGCCCAAAAGAACACATTTCAAAAGGCATTTTTTATCGAATATCAGGATTAGGTACATGTTATATATAGGCACCATGACTTGTTTTATAAATGTATTCTTTAAAATAAATATTTTCAGGTTTTCCAATAAAATAGTCAGTTCTCGCTTGTTTGTCAATTGAATATTTGGTTTTGTATGATCCATCTCACTTTTTTAGTTACATTAAAGATTACCTTGTATATTTAACAACCTCTTAAAATGTTAAAATACCCTTATTTTGAATTTAAATTACATCTAATCTTTGAATTATTCTTTTCGCTTTTTTATGTACATTAAAGTTGCTTGTTAAACTTTCCCATTTATATAAACGTACAATGTTCATGAACATCATTGAAATTAGTAAAACTTTCCCGTTTATCTAAATGGTAAATGTCGTATTTACGATCTAATTATAAGCCTTTGTTATTAAAGCTCTTAGAAAGTCATCAAACAAGATATGTTTTAATGATTATTCCTCTCATGACTTAGCAACATCCTATTACATAGTTTCTAAAAGACCCACTTGGCCTTTTTAAAGACTTTCAATTTGCATTTATTTACGTATTTTTCTACCCAACAGACCATTATGCGAAGGCACAAAAGGATTCCAATTAGAGGTCATCCCGGAAGCGCTCGCTCCATTTCCTTAACCCCAGTCTTAATTATGCAAAAAATGAGGCCATGTGCGAAAGTGACCAAGATGGTGATGAACCCACAGCCGACCCGATTGGACAATAAACTAACACCAAACTGCTGAGCGCCACCAAATGCTTGGGTCATCAAAATGTGTCAGGCCGGTCGGTCGGTCCATGCAAATTTCAAACTTAATCATGGCAAATTATATTAGTCCGTCCCCAGACCAACCCTTTGACCCTGGTGAAATGTCCGTTTATCAAATGACCCGCCCCGCAACAGCTGTTGACTGGAGAATTGCGAATAGTTTTCCCCCCTCGATTTCCTTCGCTTGGGTTCCTTCGCTCATGGCTGTCAAATGAGATTAAAATAAGCTCTTCCGTCAATCGACATCATCGACTTGGACTGCTGCTACATTCCCCACATGACAATGGCCGGGTATCCAAGTTCCCATTTCCCCACCTCAAAATATACCCCCCGCACCCACCCATCGCACAATACATAATAGGGCAGGCGAATTTATAGCAATTGTGCACTAAAAGGGTTTTATCCACGCACAACAGCTTGACCAATAAAGCAACTAAGCGCATTTGTGCACCACTTCACAAGGACCCGGATCGTGCTTCATATATACCATTCCATTCCATACCATACCATACCATACTATATATAGTATCGGTTTTGATGGTGGTGGCGGAGGCGGGGGGCGGGGGCGGGGCAATCGGCCCTGAGCTCTGAGTGCCAGTTTATTGCCAAATTGAGTCCTCGGCGACAAAGCGTCGAGTGTAGGGAGCATTGTCAACAACAGCTGCACAATTGAGATAAACTTCAATTTTCGTAAATTGTTTAGTTTATTGAAAAATCTGCGACATGTGAAGACTGTGTGTGCGAGTGTCCTGTGTGTTTGTGGCACATTAAGCGCTCTGAATTTTAATTCAATTTAACTTTAGTTTCAGTTTTGCAGCTTGCAGATAGTGGAGACAGCAATTTATTGGCACATTTTATTTTACGAATTTATTGGATTCGATGGGGCCAAACTGGAATGAACTGTACTCGAGTCGGTGGCAACTGGCAGCTGTGAAAAAATTGAATAGCAAATGTCCATAGATAAAAGGGACTTTTCGAAAATCGGGCCAAAAACGCTTATACGAAGAAAAAACTGAAACAGCTATATAATATGTAGGATTAATAGTCATCTTAATTAGGTGGAACTGTTGATTAAAATATCTTATTTGATTCCATAGCTTAACTTTATTATAGAGCTTTAGTTCATTTAAGCATGTTGAATGTATTTTTGCAAGAGAGTGCACCTTTCCATTTCCTCTATAAACTGGTGTTCCCTTTGCACACAGGACAACAAAGCGAAGATCAAACTTTTTCCCCCCAAAGCCGCCAAATATACATTTCTCTTATCGGAGGACCCAAAGGTCTACCTAAGCCACACACATTCGGCTGGCGAGGCGCAGACACAATATCCAGATCCAAACGCCTCATCCAATCCCTTCGCCATATTCAAGCTTTCACGTACTGGCTTTTCCCCGTGGAAAGCGATGCCTGTGTGTGCTGAAATTATGCGCATGTCGTTGGCATTTTCCTTCTCTGCTCGGCACGATTTTCAATTCAAATGTTTTTCTTTTCGGGGATTCGATTTCGGCGGTAGAAGGTGAAAGATGCGGTTACACGGACTGGGGGCTGGCGAAACGTTTTCGCATAAAATAAGGCAAGATAAATTGTTAATGCGTCTGTGGGGAAGCGATTAGCGGCAAATGTGCCGAGTTCGTTTCGAAACCCACTTTTGCGAGCAGTGCAATTTAAATATTATTTTCCAGCTCCTTAAAGGGAAGCCAAAAAGTGCTTTCAGTTCGACCAGAAACATTTTACAAATCTACTTCAGCATATGGAACTGATGTCTGGCTGGCACAAAATAAGAGAAATACAGGAAAGTCAAGCAACAAAAGGTGAAGCCAGCTCTCGTTGCCAATGGCAATTTATTTCCACCAGCTCATGGATTTTGTCCTTGGCCAAGGCAATTCCTTCCAGCCAGGATGCGAAGGCACTCGAGAACGCATTCAGGTGGGCAATTGGCAAATGCAACAGCCACTGCAGCTCATGATAAATCGTTATTTATAATTTCCATTGTAGACGAAGAAATTTGTATTTCCTTCTGTTGGGCAAACTAAAGTGGCAGTCGGAGTGGAATATCTGGAATAAAAACATCACCAGCCGGTCTTTGGAAATGTGGGGAAAGTAAAGTGAATTGCAGTCCTCTGATAAGTTTTTATTTATTTGCATGCCTATACCTTTAGAGTATATAAATAATTTGATTCCTCTTCATGACGAAGACTATTTTACTTCTTTATTTAAATCTTTAAATTATTTTTAATGTACATTATAAAATAAATGCCAATACTGTAGGCCAGTTTAGTTTTTTCTAGAGTATTTAACAAAATGTGTTTATTGCAACATATTAGGTATCTTAATAAATAAATTAAATTGTGAATTGTACTTTGGTATAGTAATTACTGAGTGAAATGCTAGAACTTTCTGGACGGTGTAATTATTGTTGGTTAGGTTACATAAAACGTGCATGTTAATAAAGTCAAAGAAAACATTTTTCCCTATGCAAACACCAAAACATTTCATTTTTACAACCATAGGAGAAAATATACACTAATTAGGGAAATTGGGGAACGAAAGTGGCATGTAACGCATTGGGAACTCAACTTATAATAAGGGGATAATTAAATATTTTTGCAAAACTAGTCTGCCCTCCTCTGCGCTACATCGGTAATAATTTAGCTTTGAAAGTTCCCACTTGTTGAGATAAATATTTTTCTATACAAATTTTCATTTACTCGCTGGGCTAAT